CGAGGCCTTCCTGTTAAACGGACCCTGGCCCACCTCCACTCCAATCCCCACCCCCCCCCCCCCCCGCCCCCCCCCCAAAAAAAACACCCCGCACGACCCCGCATGGTGTGGGGCTGGGAGCGCACCAGCTCCGCACAGTCCCGCACCGCACGGTCACCCTTCGCACCACACTGTGTGGAACTCCGTATGGGCCGGGTCTGTGCGGGTGCGGGCTGTGCGGAGACCGGACACCCCCTGCACGCCGTGCGGTGCGCGAGTATGATCATCCGTCATGGCAGAAATGCCTGAATGGGAAAGTTCAAGGTATGCATATGCTTGCTTCGCACATTGAATACCAACCTCAAAAAAAATTGACAAAAAATTCGACAAAACCGTTGTATTCTTGTGCCTGCAAATGGGCCAAAAAGTCTGGGAGGCCCTCGAGGGAAACTCCGCGTCGTTTTTGCACCCCTTCTGGGCTGGTGACGCCTGTGGTGCAGAAATGGTGGGAAAATAATTTTCAGGCGGCTTAGGGGCGCAAAAATGACTTGGAGGTTCCCTTGAGGGCCTCCCAAACTTTTTGCCCTGTTTGGGGGGAAACGAATACAAAGGTTTTGCAGCGAGGGTATTCTATAACTCTTTCTGAAAGAAATCAGCAGATGGCCCTCCACAGACTGGTCGGCAGACCATTGACCGTTCGGCCCTACTGGTAGGCTGCAAAATGGCCAGTGGCCAGCATCGGCGGTCGGCGGGTATGCAACCCTGGCAAGCTGCAAAAGTCTTCCCCTCCTTTGCCACTTTGAAGACTGGAACGTTCTTTTCTCGAACAGGCAGTACACTTTGTCAAACGAGATGCAGCCCTGTCTCTCTCCAGCTTTAGTCTACATGACCTAAACCTGCCAGCCTACTAAACACCTTGCCTGGGTTCAAGACCCGCTGTCCCAACACTCCAAGAGGTGTGAAGTACTTGTGCTCCAGGTTGGGGGTTCAAGCCCAACATCCAGCAACCAACAACAATCAACAAAATGCTGTGCGGGCCACAATACATGCACTGATTTGTGACTTCTGCTGTTGAGTGCAGGTTGGTTCATCCTGGCTGCCCTGATCTGCAAGTGTGACTTAACAGTCAGACGGTTGTGCAAGCACCTGCTGCTTAACCTCACAACCTCACTGATGCAGCCAGACTTGCACTCTTCTTAGAAATGTGTGCAGATTTCGGGTGGATCTGGTGTTCCTATTACGTGATTATAAAACACAGCATACATCAGGGATCAGGGGCAACGAGCAAGGGGGAGGGCAGCCGGGGGGCCC